CTCCTTTAAGTTTTCTCTGAGTAAGAACAAGAGAGACAAAATCCAAAAAGAGGTAGATGAAGAGAAAGAGGAGGGGGAAGTATGTAGGATTATAACCTGAAATAAACATTGGCAGAAATAAACATGAACTTCCCTGGTTTGGCCTCTGTCTTCCCTGCACACTACATACCCCTCCCCCACACCATGTGTGCAGACCATTCCAGCCTCATTACGCCTAGACTCGAAAGTCACACCATCAAGAGAGACACTTTGTGACAGCTCTGACTGGATAGGAGATTTGATCATACATTAATAGCTAGTGTCACGTGTACAGTGCTCAACCTCATCTTTACATGGACATTACACGGATAGCAGAGCAAAGACCTCAACATCTTTTCTTCCTTAACATGATTCCTTGTAATCAGACCTGCAATCTTAGTGCTGGCCTGGATTTAATCCTCTGAGCTTTGCAGTATCTGATAAGCAACGATTTCCTGGCTCTGATCTGTATTTTTCTTTTTTTTTCCAGCCTGAGAGAATTCTCTAGTCCTTCATTACAGGAAAACGTGCCCCCTTCTCAGCCTGGCCAGCCTCGTGTTTCTGCCCTGTCAGCCCTTCATTTTCATGGTGAAATGAGCAAAACAGCATCTGCCTTTCCCAGTCTCACAGAGTTATTGTGATGACCAAATGAAGTGATGAAGGTCGAAACGGAGTTAATGTTTAGCACTAAGACCTCTGCAGGAGACTAGGATGATTGGCCATGGATTCTGTCCTAGTACAGAAGGAAAACATGTACATAATTTATAGATTCATCCCTAGTTTTCCTGTATCTGCCCACCCCATGGGAGTGGATTAAGGTGTAGAGACTCTTCGTGATAGATTCTATTTGATAACTGCCCCTCACATTATAAAATGGAGCTGCCGGTCAGCCGCAGTGAGTGAGCAGATTCTTCCTCTAGAAAAATCTTGGCTCATCATCATGACTTGCAAACAGGACTTGCAATTTAAAAAGAGAAAAAAAGTAATTCTATTAAAGAAAAGAAGCATGTTAAAGGCCTCCCTGACAGACTCCAAGGTAACTGGAAGTTACTGACAAAAGTAAGTCAGGACAATTGACAAGGAGCATGTGTAATCTTGCCATGATTTTCCACTCTGTTTTCTGTTCTGTTTGATAGAGGGTGGGTAAACATATTTCCACTTTAAAATTGAAAATAAAATTTATGAATTCTATCTCATCAGTAATGTGCTTACAAATGCCACTTATTATCAGATTTGAAATATTGCCAATTCCTTTGAGCAATCTCATTTATGAAAGGCATGTCAAGGAAATTTTGGGCAATGTATGGGTATATATGTGTAAAATATTTCTCAGTATTGCTGAAAACCGTAACAAGTTGGATTCAGCCTAAATATCCAGTAATAAGGGGTTGTTAAAATAATGTGTGGCACAACCCAACAATGAAATACTGTTAAGCCTTTAAATAATTTTTGTGGAAATCTCCGTGTTTTATATTTTTACATGTGTTTCTTCCTGTGTATCAATATTGGAACATAATATAAAAAATGTGCTTCTCTGGTGGTGGGATTTTGAGTAATTTCAATGCATTTATTGCATTACAGATAATATTTTCTGTAATTTTAAAATTGAACAATATATGTAATATAAAAGTACAAATACCACTAATTATGGGGAAACAATTATTCTTAAGAACTTTTAATCAAGAAAAATCACAATAAAGGCATTAATCTTTTCCACAGTTCCACTTACTTACAAAATAAAATAGTTGTTCTATCTAGCAGAAGTAAAGAGAAACAAAGCTTTCATTCTAAACTGAGACAAGCTTGGCGTATCCCCAACTGCGCATATGCACTTAGCACATAGCTCAGTCCGGAAAACCCTGTTGGCATTGTAAATATCACGGTTCTCCTTTCAAGGACATTCTTTGTGAGGAATACTTTCTTGACATTGGACATTAAATAATTATTAACTGACATGTTGCACTTAATAGTTTGTGGCCTCAGCTCTAGTTTATGTAACAAATTTGACCACAGCTCTAACACACCTCATCATTGAGGTGGAGGAACTTGTCATAAGAACTAACATGGTCATCCCGGTTGACTGGTCACTGCCAGCCCTTGCCAGACTCTGTCCCTGCTCACCTCCCCGAGGCCCTTCTACAGACACCAGGTGCTGCTATTATAGCTGGTCACAGGTAAGGAAAAGTCAGACTTGGCCACAGCCTCTCAAAACATAGAGTCAGTTTATGGAAAGAAGTCTCTCGAGGCTCTCAGGACTTCCAAGTAAGCAAAAAGTGACTCTTTGTATGGTATTTTTGGGAGTGGCAAAGGGACAAGTAAGAGAAAATAGAATAAGTTATCCCCAAGTGAAAAATATGACTTGCGCTAGCAAATCATAAATCTTAAATGTATTGACAAGTTGAAAATGCCATTGATTAGCTGAAGAACTCCTGTGGATTGTAAAAAAACTTTAATAGTGTGATAATCTTTGAAGACTTTTTATAAAGAACACATACAGAAGAGGAAGAAAGTTCTCCCATGTTGGACTTGGGTATATCTCATGATGCTACCATTCGCTCCTTTGTACGCTGGCCCCTATATTTGCTTTGGTCTCCCTGCATTAATTAACTCTTTTCCATTCCACTTTTATCTCAATTTATGCTAAACTTCTGGAAGAACTGCCCACATGCGCTGCCTCTGCTAACTGATTTCCTCTTGAATCCTCAGTAAAACTGAGGCTGACCGCTACCCCCGCGCACACAACCATGCGGCTGAAAAGGCTCCTTCAAAGGTAACCAGTGACCTGACTATTCTGCTCATTCTTTATCACATTCAACTTCCCTGTATCCTTTTACAACTCTGACCACACTTCCCTTCATAAAACTTTCTTTTCCTTTGGTATATGAAACTCTGGTCTTGGCTTTTTTTTTTTTTTCCTTCCAGTTTTCCTCTTCTTCCTCTTCCCTGTCATTCCTTTCCTCAACGTGTCTTAAATAACACTGTCCTCAGATTTTTGGGTCTGGACTTCCTCCCCTCCAACATTGTGTATTCTGTCCTGGTTATCTCAGCCGCTCTCTTGACGTCAGCGTCCAGCTTCACCTCATAACTGATGCATACACATCTGTCCCCAGGCTCTGTTTTGAGCACTGGGTCAAAACTTACATCTGCTTTACCGAAAGCTCGGCACTTGTATCATGAAGTTCATGAACATGAAGTGTTCACATCAGAAGAACAGGAACAAGTAGTTTGAGGAGAGGGAAAGGGTTTATTACTTAGCTGGCAAAGGAGGAAAAATGGCAGACCCTCTTGTCTAAAAATCCAAATTTCCTGAACATCAGCAGAAAGACAGAGCTCTTAAAGGGAGGGCCCTCAGTTCCTGGCTATAGTGGTTAACTATTCTAATCATCCCATTTCTGCCAAAGACAAAGTCTGCGATCCCATCCATCTGGGCCCACCTGGAGGGCTGGCACCCAACAGGATGGCTGAGCCATCTCCTGTAATACAAAGAACAAAAAAATTACCCTGCCCCTCCCAACCACTGGCCTGAAGCAGGGATTGGGTTTTGTTCTCAAAAAGGAGTGGAGGATGTTTTAAAGAGACAAAATATTTTTTGCTTTTTTGGGGGTGTGGGAGGGCATTCCCTCGGTTCTATATTCCTCACTCTCAATTTTCCCCTTTCCATATCTATGGGAGGAGGAGCGACTACTCTCTTCCATTCAGGATATCTCCCCAGGATGTTCCCAAACAGCCCAGCATGGAGCCATCACTGCCCTGGAAATGGATGGCTTTGCCCAGTGACTGACTCGGTCAATGGCGCCCCAGCCTGAAGCATCCCTCCTGCCGAAATGTCCTTCCGCCTCCACACAGCCTTCCCTCTCGGTCCCCCATCTGCTCATGAACCCTGGTTTATTTCACTATATGACATCTCTGGTTGTATCTATTTCTTTGTTCATCACCACTGCCCTATTTCTAACAATTATCTGCTTTTATCTGGATTACTACTAAAGCCTTTGATTTCATCTTTCTGTCAGATTTCAACTGTCCTCCAATATTAACTGCCCCGATACCTTTCACACACAGTGCCCTGTTTGCTGTCCCCTGACTTGTGTGCAACTTTGCCTCTTTGTTCCATTGTTCCTGTTCTTCCCTCTACTTGAAATGCCATTTCTTTTTTTCTCCTTTTCCTTCTTGTTCTAATCCAATTCACCCTTCTTGACCTAACACAGTCAGCAAGGGACCAAGACCATATTCAGGGAGTGTGGTCTGAGTCCATTTAATATGCTGATTCAAGATACTTGGCAATTCCTGGAATTGCAAAACTACCTTCTTCAGAAAAACTATTTCATGATATTTTTCAGCTGTTCCTGTGGGGGAGAGAAGGGAACACCATTGAATAATATGAAAACTGAAGGAAAATGACAGAGCATGACAAAACTAATGTTCCTGAACATGGCCATGTGAAATAGAGTATCTTTTGTTATACAATGCATTTTCAAGCACAATCATGGGGATTGCTGTTGTCAACAGAATCCTAAATAGAAATAATTAGAGCCAGTTTTCCTAAGAATTATTTCCCAAGGAATTCCATTACTGCAAGCCAGGTTTAAAAATAACTCATAGAAACAGGCAAAGGGGAATAAAGGAGAAGCTTATCATCCCTAAACAAATGTAAAACCCAACGCATTCATAGGAATAAGTCAACAAAATGGAATTGCTAAGTGGTATGCTACGGTTGAGTAAGATGCTTGCAAAGAATGGGAGGAAACTGGAAGCTGTGACTCTTAGTCAGACTCACCTCTGCCAATAGCTAAAGAAATATATTATTTCATCTCAATGAGTCTCAATTTTGTTATCTAAGACATAGGTGACTTTTAATGATTCTTTCAGCTCTAACATACCATGGGTATTGACTTTCTTCAATTCAATTGTGTTTCTAATAGCTGCTGTATCCTGAACTAATATCTGCCTGAGATTGAGAGATAAGTAATTCTTGGAACATTTACCTTCAGGTAGTTACACTGCAGTGAGGGAGAATGGCACACCAGAAGGCAGAGTGCGGTTGGTGATGTGTCAGACACAAACACCAGGAGAGGAACCAGCCGAGAGGGCAGAGCATGGATGAATGATGGTCCGACATCTCCAGGACTCTCTCTGGGACAGAGGGAATGGCCTGGAAAAAAAATGTCGAAAGATGTTTTCCGTCTCTTTAAAACTTCCACTTTTTGGGAACTGATACCTGCATCCCTGCCTCAGAGGCAGGTGGGAGGGGGTAGTCAGGAGGGACAAGTGGTCAGGAGGGGCAGAGGAATGTCTTTTGTTCTTTGTGTTCCAAAAGATAGCTCAGTCCAGTGGGCTCCACCCAGGCCTACAGACAGCTCCACCCCAGGCCCAGAGGTGTGGGTGGGCCTCCCAGGTGGGTGGAGGTCAGCGCTCTGTCTTTGACAGAGATGAGATAATTAGAATCATTAACAATAGCCTAGAACTGATGGCTCTCCCTTTAAAAGCTCTGTATTCCCGCTTATGGGCAGGAATTTGGATTTTGAGCTGGTAGAGTCTTCCATTTTCCTCTTTTGTCTGCAAAGTAATAAATTTCTCCTCAAACCATTTGTTCTCATTCTTCTCATAGGGCCTTGAAGACAAGTGCTGAACTTTTGGCAACATCTCTCCTGGTCCTTGTTGCATGCAGTCTATTTTTAATGAATGACTTGGGATGCTGCAGTAAATACGGTGGAGGCGGATTAGCTTGCCAGGGCTGCCATGACAAACTTCCACAGCCTGTGTGGCTTAAACAATAGAAATTTATTCTTTTGCAGTTCTGTGGGCTGGAATTCCAAGATCCAGATGCCAGCAGGTTCCTTCAGAGGCTTCTGTCCTTGGCTTGCAGATGGCCATCTTCTCTCTGGGTCTTTTCTTATCTTCCCTCTATGCATATGGGTCATAGGGAGCAAGGCCCTTGGCCCCATAAAGGTTCACTGAAAAGTCACTGACATTGTTACAGCAAGTGTTACAGCGCGTGGTCCCGAGGACAAACCGAGTGGCACATGGAGAATCCAGAGAATCAAAGTTTATTTCACCCACGGGCTCAGAGGGGCCTTGCCACCAAATTCTGAGCACCGTCTACCTGATTTTTCCCTCTTTTATTAAGTTGAGATGGTCCAAGGGGTGGGGTACCAGGTGTAGGTTAGTTGATGTGTCACGAAATAGGTTAATATTATGTTGAGGCACCAGGCAACAGATTTAGTGTTATGCTGATGCCAGGCAATAGACTAGTTGATGGGCCAGGAAACAGGTTAGTATTATGCTGATGTGGCTCTTCTGTGAGTGATGGTTGGGGTGGGGGTTCTCCAATGCCTGATGCACCAAGTAACAGATGGGGGTTTCCCTTATCAACATGAAGCAGATTGATTAATAGGAGAAAAGACATACAAATTTATTTAACATGTATAAGTGGGAGCCTTAAGAATGACGACCCAAGGGTACAGGGGAAATTGTCCATTTTTATCCTTAGCCTTCACTACCTTGTGAGCAGTGGGACGGAATAGTTAAACACACCTGAATGCGAATGCCAGCTCTCCACAGGTTAGCTCTGTGCCATGCGATGCTGCTGAGATCGGACGCCTTTGGTTTATTCATCTGTAAAGTGGGAGGAATATTCCTAACCTTAAACGTCTATGAATTTTAAGTCTAACTTCTGAGAAAGCACTAGGAACAAAATGGTCACATAGGGTAACACTTAACGTCCTGTTAACGTAAATAATAAATGACTGTAACACTCAATTGAGGTTTATTAAGCCCAGATTTTAAGGATGCATCTGGGAAAAGCACAGCCCACAACTTATCTGATGTGGACTGGGCTATCTGTAGAAAACGTTGAGAACTTCGCATTTGAAGGAAAGTGCACAGGAAGAGAAAGGGAGGGATGAAGGAGGTGAGCAGTGAGGCAATGGATGGTGTTGTTGTAAGATTCTATTTGGTGCTCAATAAATCTACAGGAGATAAGATGAACATTCAAAAAGTGGGAAAAGGAAAGAGCCAATGTCGGAATCTTCTCAGGGTGGGTAGAAGAGTGATCATATCTCTTCTTTGATTTGCATCAGTGGAGATAAACTTGTTACCAATATTTAAGAGTTTATTTAGGCTACAGTCCTAAGGTTATAATTTGTAGAGGCTGGATATCTTGAAGGAGTTCTTTTTAGGGTTGAAGGAAGTAGAAATATTTTAACCCCAAATACATTTCTTTGACATATTTTTGAGATGGCTGCGGACAAACAGGAATATGCTGTGTGCCTGTCTAGGTGGGAGTCTGGGGGAGCAATTCCCACCTGCAGAGAATCTCTGTTTAAGGCAGTCCGGTCCCCCGCTATTTGATCTGGGACAGGTTTGCTGAGAGTCTGACACCCTTGAAGGTCTGTAAAAACACATCCCTGAGGACTGTTCTTATCTGAAGCTTATCTGCATAACAAGAACTCCTTGCCACCCTGGCCTCCTTTCTCCCTCCCATACTCCATAATCCCCCCAAAACCATGTTCAGTCATTTTCTAAGGCCATACATTTCTTAAAACAAGACCCCTGTTCCTCCTTGGGGAGACGATGGCAGCGCTTGTGTGACTCAGTTCTCAGGTTCAGTTCTCTCTTTTGGCATGATGAATTTTGAGGAGTCTGAGATTTTTATTTTTTCTTTACGGTCCTCATCAAGCAGTACAAAGTAACCCCTTCTTTGTTATCTTTCAGGCATAACATTGAGAATGATTAAGTCAGATATGACAGAGTTAATGAAGAAGAAATGGCATAATAGGAAAATTTTTCTTGCTTTAATTATTCATTAAAACCTTGTTAAAACTTAATTTTCCTAGATTTTTTATGGATGCTTCATGCAAAAGAGCTGTTTACCACTGGTAACGATTCAACACATACCAGTGGGGTGAAAAAAACCCCACTGGATTCTTTTTATTTGTCACAGCATTGTGTTTGACTCATTTCCAAGGAAATAAACAAGATGTGATTTGGAAAAAAGGAGAATTTTTAAAAGCCTCAGAGATTGTGATAACTCACATTCATTTATTTCATTTGGCCTTGCGCTGTTTCCTAAGGAAAGCATTCTAGTCCCCTGTGTAAGCTGTAGGTACTTTTCAACTCTAATTCTCATAGCTGTGATTTTGACTAGAATTTTCATGAAGACATTATAATTTCATTTTTGAAATGCTTTTTGACAAATTGTTTTCTGGTAATGCCATTCCAAATTTTATTTGTCTTTTCCCCTCCCATTTATAGGCAAAACACCTATACTTAAAAGAACATCTAATTTGAACCTATTTTGAAACAAATCATTATAAAAATTATGATACACAATCAACATTGTAGATAGAGCCCAGGCATTGAAGTCAGGTAGATATTTTTCTTTTTTCAACAATCATGTCCACCATTTATATATTTCTTCCTATGCAGTAGGCAATTTTGAAGGATAGACATTATTCTTTCAATTTTATGCCAGGGAACTAAAGATCTAACAGGTTATTTGTACCAGTTCTCCAGCCAGGAGACAGTGTAACAAGACTCAAATCCAGTTTGCTAAATCTAAAGTCAGTGCTCTTTAAACTTTATTTATTTGAAATCCTACAAGGTTAGAAGTAATTGTGCAAGGGGCTTAGAAGCTTCTGGAAGACAAAAGAAGCCTTTAAAATAAGCCTAACACTGCATTAAAATGTTGGTCTTCAGGCAAGAAATGATTATGAGTGCAAAACTACCAAATGCAGTTATCTCCCAGATCAGCCCTATGACACTCAACTCAGTAGGATGGGGTGCGGAGTGGGTGCAACAGGGGAGAAACATGGAAGAACTCTTTAACTAAAAATTCTGTAGTGCATTTGAGACAAAAGGCATGGTTTGGTGACACCTCCAGAATAGGCGGTATTTCAGAGAGGGCAGGGGTGTCTCCTTTGTCAATTTCCACCCAGCTGTTTGGACACGGAGAGCTTGGCTCTCTCGTCTTTCTAATTCTCCCACCTTCTTTGCTAAACAACCATGATTTTGTGAGACGTGGAAATGTGCCCAGTCCCAGGCAGTGAATCATGATCAGTTTGGACTAATTATGACTAATAATGGCAGCCTTGATGCTCTTGCCAGGTTCTTGGTTTTAGAGCTTTCCTGGTAGTCAATAGTCATGCTCTACAGTGTGTTTGGTTTCAGCCACATCGTCCATGACTGTTGTATCTGTGTTATTGCTTTTATCAAAGCAGGGTGGTGTTCTTCATACTATTAAACAAGCTTTCCTTACATTTCTGCATGTCTCCTCATGACCACTGCTTACTATCTCCTTTACTTTGTTCTTCTGTATCTTTGTTGTATTTTATGCTTATGTTTTTCCATGTCATTTCATTTCACGTATATAGATCTTACTTAGTAACATACATCTTATATATATATTTGAAATAGTATCTAGCAGAATATAGACCTCATAAAAATATTTATATATTTTATATACTACATATAGTACATTGTGGGATTTGTTTGAATGCAGTTGAGATTCTTTAACCTTTTATACACAGAAGTTAAAGCAATTTCTTGATATAATAGATAAAATTGATCACATTTTGGGGAAATAACTGTCTTATAAAGGACAATTAAACAAAATGCAGTAAATATGTATTTTAAATCTTATTAAAAATCAAAGATCAAAAAGGTAATGAGGTTGTGTTGAATTCTGGTTTTGGCCAAGGTAAAGTAGTGAGAAGTGTGTTTACTTCTTGACTGAAACAAAACAAACTAGCAAAATATATAAAAACAATGTTTTTCTAAGATATTGAATATCAAGCAACAAAAGACTGTCAACTCTGAGAAACAGGAATAAAACCAGGTGAGTTCTATAATTTCCCTAGTTTACTGCCTTGAGAGAATTTCCAGGATAAGGTGCAGGAAAGGGAAACCCAGAGAGAGCCTGGTGGATTTCTGAGTTGAGGAAATGAAGCTGGGAATCCACGGTGACAAGGTAGCTAGAATTTGTACAACAGAGTACTGGAGAGGAGAAAGGGGCACATAGAAAAAGTCTAGGAATGTGCAGATGGTACACAATGTGTTCAACTGAATACATGATTGCAGAAAACTACCCAGGCCAAGGAAAGAAGCATCTGGAAGGATTAGAAGTAACAGTGCCCAATACATACACTTGGCTGA